TGTCGGCTCGGATTGTGCGGTAGTATTAACAAAGTGATTAAGTCAGTATTAAGTGTAGACGATTGCTGTTTTGAAATCGTATATGGGCGTAGGTAGTATAATGATATAATTGTGTCCTACGTAGCATGTTATGTTATGTTGACTTAGTTGATTTTGAAAAATAATAATAACGTGCCAAAGAACATTCGATGACATCCCCTTAATTTTTAAACACTCCACTTAAAACGTAGAGAATCATTATAAATTATGTCAGCCAATTTGTGGACTAGAAGAAATACATTACGTAACATAAAACTAAAAAAAAATTCTTATTGGTTATTAGCAGATAATTGGTAGTTAAATAAAGAATAAAGTCAAGCATCTGTTGAAATTTAACTTCCAGCCAATTTCCGCTCGTATTCAGTCGTATCCTCCCCACATGACCTTTTTTTTTAAGACTGGTTAACTACATTCACCTATGTACTTCTTTATCTAATAATAATATTATTATTATTATTTTTTTATAATATATTAAATTGAAATCAAATACCTCGGCGAATTAATATTATTATAAATAGTCTATATTTTATACCTTATAGAAACAATACAAAAAAAAACAAATCCTTTATGCTAGTTGTACATAAATACTTCGTACCTAGTTCGTTTTAAATGCAGCCACGCAAGTTTATAAGTATCACTATTGCAATATGTTTTGTGTATGTTTTGAGTTTGTTTATGCATTGTGTAGTGGTAAAAAAATAAACCCAGAGCAGAAAAGTATTATTTTATCGTGRATCGACGACGCTCGACGRTTATCAGATTATTTTATCWTGATTAAAGACTATTGTCATATCTATCCTATCTTATTCTATCCTACTATTTTTACTACAGAGTAGGAATAATATAAATGCCAGTGTATACCTATATACATAACTAAAATCAAATCGAAGTTATCGATACGCAGACCTAATGGTCGATAAAGCTCGGAAATGGTGATATTATTTGCTCATACGATACGAGCACTTATTATGGACTGGAAACATCGATTAATGCGTTAGAATTATATCGGTTGAGAATCATAAACGTTAATTTCAAGCCACTATCGTACATAAAGCAACTATAGGTTCAATGTATAGGAAATATTGTCATCATTAACTATTATAATATAGTGCCGTTCATCCATGCCTTTGATAGCGTAACAGTATAACGCACATCATAAAATAAATTATTAGTAATATTATATAGATACAATAGCACGCTAGAGGATAATGATTACAGCGAAACAACGCGTATAGAGTTTTGAAATTGTCTCTGATATGGCGTATTAGATAATATACCTATCTAATATTATATTCACTGTAATATGAATATAATATAGGTGTTTCGATTTAGACTCATAAATGATAAATCACGTATGCTGATGCAAGCCACTGCTCTTCAGCAATACMATATGTATATGGTAACACAATAAATTATAATTATTTTTATAAAATGTTTTATCTCATGAATATAGTGACGAGGCGTATAATAACAGATCGAGGGTTTTAATCTACGATTCAAGCTCATTTACATTATACAACAATTTAAATGCATTATTTAATGAGTTATTGAGATCTAAAAAGTTTTCAAATAATACAATAATTTTAATTTTTTATAATAAATTTTCAAGCTAAATAAAAAACAGCTAATAAAAAAAAAACAATAATTTATAAATTTATTTTTTTGATAGAGAACCTTTCAGTTTTTTACTTGGAGTTAAAACCAACAGMTTTTATCCATCTTCTACATAATAAAATACATTTTAACGATAGTAAAAAAGTATTAGGTATTTAATATTAACTGTTTAAATTATGCAATACCTAATAAAATGATAGATAACTCAATGTTATTATAGTTATTCCGCATTTATCAATAAAATATAAGACTCTATTAATAATAATAGGAACCATAATATAAGTTTAGTTTTGCTTTAACCAAGCTTATTTTAGTCAAGCATTTTTTACAGATTTGTTTTAATCATTGAATTGCTCTGTGAATGATTGAATCCAGTCACATTTTAGCGATCGTAACTTCAGTACAATAAGTTTAAAGTTTGTTACTTATCCAATTTTCATTGAATATAGTAATATATTTCCAAATTATGATTTTAATTTTTAGTTTATGTTCATTATTTGTTTTAAATTTCAAAAGGAAATATCTATTTACTTGCGTGCGATCTTTGATTTTTACCAAAAAAATATTTTGAAATATAATATAACAGTATAGATAAATAATTATTTCATAGATTATCACGATCATCAAAAGACAAATAAAATTTGAACATTAAATATCAACGGAAAACGACATTAACTTAATTTACATACGAATACAATATAAACCGTTAATTTTTTAGTTAATTGTACATTTTAAATGTTTACAAAGCGATCCCTTGAAGTGGGTACACAAATCATCTCGAAAGTATATTGACTTTGCTTAAAATTTTTTTTTAAACTTCTAGGTTTGTGTTTTTCTAAAACCATATGATATTTAAATTTTTTTCACCCTTATATTTATTGGTGAAACCACTATACATTTTTGTTTTTCAAAGGGTAACATATTATAATAAAAATTTCATGAATTAATAATATCATATTTTTCATAAATTTACGATTTAGAATTTCTATTTTTCGTTGATTAGTTTGCGAGATACAGCTCCTCAAAGTATTAGTGGTTTTTACTATTTTTCCAATAATTGTAAAAACCAGGAGCTAGTGTTAAATTCAATATCGTTGAATCCAAGATAGGTAACAAAATAAACAGCAATTGATTAAAGATTACTATTGTACTTTGAAAGTTTGAATCCTAATCATTTATTAACTTATTGACTAGAAAGTTATCAATATTATTACCAATTAAGTCAAACGGTATCGAATTTGTCAGTTATAGTCCCTAGTCTCTACAAATAAGGAAATAGTATAAGCAATATCGCATTTACCGATTTTAACACCTTCTTCAACCACCAATAATTTGAGGAGCTGTATCTCGCAAACCAATCAACGTAAAATTAAAATGTTAACACGTAAATTTATAATAAAAATGGTTTTATTAATTCATGATATTTTTTATTATAATATGTTTCCGTTTAAAAATCAAAAGTTGATAGTGGTTTCACCAATAAATATAAGAGTGGAAATTTAAAATATTATACGGTATTACTTAAAAGTTTAAAAAAAAAATCAAAAGAAGTTAATACTTTTCGAGATAATTAGTGTACCCACTTAAATAGATCACTCTGTGTATTACTAGCTGACTTATTGCGCTTTTTACCCGTTAAATATGCCAACTGTATATAATTCAAACTATGTTCAATTCAGACGGTTTGTTATTTTAATATTCAGTATATGCATAGGTACGAATAAGGCCCTCCCCTCTCAAAAAAATTCAAGGTTTTCGTGAACAATACAAGCCTCAAGCTATCATTGTTTAGGGTTTAGGATGATCAGTTGGTAAGTCAGTCAGGACACGTTCGATTGTAGCATTGGTTATAAATTATAATATATCTATAATCAATGAGTATAGGTATTATAAAATACCAGATGTTGCCCGTGAGACTAACTTGTGATTATGCGAGCAGACCGAGCAGTATATTGTCAGGAACATTTTTTATAAATTAATATACGTAATGCAGACTATGCAAGGTACGCACCGTAAGTGTATAATTTCTAACTCTAAAGTTTCAAAATTAGACCCTATTAGGTGCGTACGAAGGTGTGTATTCTATATCACGCTGTCCCCCGTGCATTTCGTCATGTTGATAGTTTTGACCAAATATAAAATACCAGCTTAAAATAATTACATTCAAGTTATGATAATTTAATTTTTTGCAACCATAATATAAACAAAAATATATTATTTGTCCATATCTATAATATTGTAAAAAAAAAAAATTAAAAGGCACTGCCTACTTATCGAAATAAAACTGCAACATTTTTAAAATTGGTTCTGTAGTTCCAGAGATTACACCGAACAAACGAACATTTTTTCTTTTTCATACATTWGTATGGATAAGTCTAACAATAATCATTTTATTATAATATTGTGCCCAAACATTTCTTACACATGAAAAGCATATTTTATAAAGAGTAAATCTAGATTGTAACTACATCAATATTTAGTAAAGCGATTTAATGGCTACGTTTCACTGAAATCGCTGATTCCTTAAAAACAGAACGAAATATATATTTGAACAAGGACCATGCTTCAGCTAAGGTCTAAGGAACTGAATATAGAGTTCAGTTAATATAATGAGTGACTAGTTAAAAGTATGTACACCAACTCTAGATGTTTATATTAAAACTATGTTAAGGAACAAAAGTCCGTTTGTAGTGTAAAAACCTGCCGTATTTCACTAATTAATAAATTATACATAATATAGCCCGACGTGAATACAATTTATAAAGTTGACATACCTATTTATTGTTTGCTTATAATCACAATTCAAAAACTTCATTGTTTCTTTTATATTTTTTACATATTTTTACAGGTACTATTTAAAAATTTTGACTTTTCCCAAATGGAAATTCCCAAATGAACTTTTTCCTAATAGTATTTTGCCCGAATGTCCGAAAACCAGGAAACCTTTTTTTTTCGAAATCCTTTTTCTGATGGCTATTTTTCTGGAAATTAAATTTTTTTTTATATGAAAAGCTACAGTGGTTTATTTTCTATATATTTTTCTAACTCATATTTTATACCTAAAACTAAAATAACGCTATTGCTGTAAGGTACATTTTAATTTCTAATCTATCAACAATAATTTTTTCTGTTGGTTAAAGATGGTATTTACAAAAAAGTACTGGTATCTTGCCTTTATCACACTTCGTTAMACTGACGTAGGTATTCTTATAAAATATAATTTATTATTATTATTKCTTGTATAGATGTGCATCGTTGTTAGTCACGTGCTATTGGCCGTTGTTATACCTACTTCAATTTTCAAATTAGTGCACTTCATTGTAAATTGTATAGCATACCTATTTATTTTATATTTCACGGAGGGCGTTCCAGTAGTAGCACTCAAACAGAGCATGCTCCACCGTGTCCTCGCCGCCCCTGCACTGTAGACACATCGGACTGGCGACCCTAGCTCTCCTGTAGAGATATGACTGGAAACAGCCGTGTCCCGTTACTGCCTGTGACATGTGGAACGTCAGGGGCACTAGCGGGACCATTCTTCCCAGCCAACGTCCGATGGATGGGATGCAGGATATATCGGCGATAGCCTCGTTCCACCAGTACACTGGACGTCTGCCTGCGGGACCTGGTCTCGTTCTCAGCATGCAGGCGTCGCAGGCGCTGAGTAGAACGTCTTCCAGTTGATCAACCGACGTGAGAGCCTTCCCCACGCTTGGTGACCCTGCAGGAGGTTCCAAGAGCATGGAAGCCAGGTAAAGACTCAGGGCGTCTCCGTCGAGCTTTTTCAGTTGGCGCTGGGAGATGATGAGGACATCCGYTTCCTCTTCGTCCGCCGTTTAAACCATGAGTTGTTCAGCTGCCCAGTTCGCGTTCAGGTTGATGTTAAGAAGTCTATACATTGTGGCCGGGAGCCCGGCGGACTCACATGCAAGTTGCGTCGGTGCGATGCATGATGCAACGCACCGATCAT